TAAAAAGTCAAAGATACAAATTATGAACAACAAACATGCATCTATCAACAAGTGAATCTAAGAATCAAGTGAATAAATAATCTGGAGATCATAATAGAATCAGGGACATAGAAAGGGAATGGACTGACTATTCTTGGAGGGGAAAGGGGTGTGGGAAGGGACTGGAAAAAAAAATCATACACCTATGGATGAGGACAGTGGGGGTGGGGGGTAAGGGCAGAGGGTGGAGTGGGAACCGGGTGGAGGGGAGCTACAAGGGGAAAAAAGAGGAACAACTGTAATAATCTGAATAAAGATTTAATTAAAAAAAAAAAACAAAGCAAGGTAAAGATACCAGGAAAGGGAAGGGAATGGCTAAGGACTGCTATATTAGATAGGGTTGCCTAGGAATGGCCTCCAGTGACCATTTGGAGTGAAATCAAAAGGAAGCCACTCAGATATTTAGAAGAGGAACATTTCAGGTGAGAAGGTGGCCAGCACAAAAGCCCTGAGATAGGGATGGGGGCTGGCATGGCTGCAACTTGTACATAAGGGGAGGATGATAGAGGTATGTTGGTGAGGTTTCCACGGACCAGTTTACTATAAGACTTGCTGAGCCATGGGAAGTCCTGTGGATGTTTTTTCTAAGTATGATCAGAAGCCCCCAGCAAGGAAATATTGTGTTTATGCTCCACACAGAAGAGAAACACTTTTATCATGTAAAACTGAAGTATAATAATGACTTACTGTGAATTATCTTCATTATTTATCCTTTTGAGCTCTCGAATGTGCAGATTTCTTACTCTTTCCAAACGTTCAAGTTCTGCCTGAATTTCTGCCTCTTCCTGAAAATGAAGAGAGGGTACTATAACAAGCTCAATTTATTTGCTATATAAAAAAAGATATTTTTAGCCATGCGTCAATTTTTTTCAGTGACAGGAAGAAAAGTTATTATAAAGTACCACTGAGTTAAAAGACCAAAGTGCTCTTTTCAATGCCTGAAAGATGGAAAAAGATCAGGAAAAAGCCTATTTCAAGAAACCATCCTTCACATAAAAATCTATACCTAATGAGATGCTGAGTTTTATTCTTTACAACAAGAAATCTATTTTTATAATGTCTAAATTGAAAATGGCTGCATGGTAGTCTGAAACTGACTTATATCAAAATGAACTGAAAGCTTCATTTCTGGTACATCCAAATTTTAATTTAAGAGGGAATAATTTACTAGCATAAAACAAATGAAGATATCCCGTTTAATAAAAGGGTAATATGCAAATTGACCCTAACAACGGTTGCTATGACACACACTGACCACCAGGGAGCAGACACATGCAAGTGCAGCGGAAGTGTCAGGAGCTTCTCCCGCCTCCTTGGCAGCGCTAAGGATGTCCGACTGTAGCTTAGGGCCATGGGGAGTGGGCATAAACTGGCAGGTGGACATCCCCCGTGGGGTACTGGACTGCAAGAGGGAGCAAGCCAGGCTGAGGGACCACCCCGAGTGCACGAATTTTCATGCACCGAACCTCTAGTTTTACAATAATTATAAGAGAAAGAAAGGAAAAAGACAGAACCACTGATTATTTCTAAAGCTTACAACATTTGGAACACACACACACAATCTGACCACTCCCTATGGATAAATCCCATGGAAATCTTAAACAGACTCTAAAACAAACATTTTATGAATAGCTGATCCTTAGATATTATCAGGGCAGATTTAGGCAAATCCTAAAAAAATTTATGTTGCCCTAACCGGTTTGGCTCAGTGGATAGAGCATCAGCCTGCAAACTGAAGGGTCCCAGGTTCGATCCGGTCAAGGGCATATACCTTGGTTGCGGGCACATCCCCAGTGGGGGGTGTGCAGAAGGCAACTGATTGATGTTTCTCTCTCACAGGCTTAGGGACCCTACCTGTACACGAATTTCATGTACTGGGCCTTTAGTACTAAATATTTAACTGAAATTTTCTCATTAAATGTAGCTTCAGTCACATATAGTTCTAATTCTACTGAAAAAAGAAAAAGGTAATATCCCAGGAGATTAAACTAAAGATTAATTATAAAAGCAGGAAATATACTAAAAAGCTTTTTGAAACAAATAAACTCAAGCCATAGCTAAGTTGTCTTAACACATAGCGGACCAGTAGTTTTATTGCCAGCTTTACCCAGTGGCCAGATAAGTTTCTATTGAACGAGTACAAAAAACGTTTTACATAAACGTTTTACATGCCTTAAAATTAAATACCCATTGCATTTTGAAATTATTTATTACTAGTACACGTTCTTACAAGCTAGTATCTTTTTAAAGTGTGATACTTTGTAAAACACTGTATAATATGAAAACATGAGAATTCTCGTGATCTATCCACAATGTGTTGATTTAGTCATAAAACAGTAAAAGACACTGGCAGATAGGAATGTCCATGAGTATGAAAAAAATTCAAATTCATTTACACCACAGAACAAAAAAAAGTGGTAAATTTTTTTCTTCATATTACTAATGTTTGCTGCCTTAAAACTTAATTTGATTCTTACACATGTAGGAAGCTACAAAATAGTTGGTAGTCTGGTGGATTTTTAACTGATAAAATAATGAAATGCCTATTAGAACACCAGCTGAAATACTAGTTTTAACTTTATTTGAAGTTGTGGTACAGGGATACTATTTATTTCAAGTGTGAATTTACAGAAATTAATTATATATTTATTACTCAATACAATTTGAGATTCAGCTAGCATGTTGACGCACATAATTACATATGTTTTATAATTTTTGGTATCTATACAATGGCAGTAACCATTACCACAAAATAAATATTTTAAAAAGTAAATGTAGGCCTGCCAGTGTGGCTTGGTGGTAGAGCCAAGATCCATGAAGCAGGAAGTCACGGTTTGATTCCTGGTCAGGGCACATGCCAGGGTTTCAGGCTTGATCCCCAGTAGGGGGCGTGAAGGAGGCAGCCAATGGATGATTCTTTCTCATCACTGATGTTTCTCTCTCTCTCTCTCCCTCCCTCCCAATCCCTTCCTCTCTCTGAAATCAATAAAAACATAATTAAAAAAAGGTAAATGTCTGTCTGTATCAGTTAAGCAAGCTCTTTTCTCCTCTATAGAACTTGACAAATACTGTCCCATAAAATCTTATAATACAAAAGCATAGGCAAGCTTCATTTCCATTTGAACTGTAAAGTTTACAAGGAAAATAAAAGGTCATAAACACTGGTGAGGGGGGGGGGGGCGCGGAAAAAGCTGGATCCTTCCTAGGTATTTAAGAGGAAATGTCAAGGGAAGGAACTATAACCAAAAGTCTTATAAACAGATAGACATAAATCCTCCAAAGTCAGTAAAATATATTTACAAACCTCATATTGTAATTTAATATTTATTCCACTATGTCTTGGACCTTAAAACAAAGTGGAAAAAACAAAGTGGCACATCCTGGAAGATAATTCTGCAACTCGAAGTAATTTCTCTCAAATCCCACAGAGAAAAAGTATACATACTATACTATTATGGACTGAAGGTTTGTGTTCCCCCCAAATTCATCTAAGTCCTAACACCCAATGTAATGGCTTTTGGAGATGGGCATTTGGGAGGTAATTAGAGTTAGATTAGGTAATGAGGGTGGGATCCTCATGATGGAATTAGTGCCTTTTTTTTTTTAAAGTTAATCCTCACCCTAGGATATTTTTCCCATTGATTTTGAGAGAGAGTGGGAGAAGAGAAACATTGATGTCAGAGAGACACATAGATTGGTTGCTTCCAGAATGCGCCCACAAGCGAGGTTCATGCCCTTGACTGGAATCAAACCTGGGGCCAATCCAGCTGTGGGATTAGTGGATTTGTAAGAAAGAAGAGAAAGATAATCACTCACCCCCATCCCCACCCCTTCTTTGGGGGAGCACAGGGAAAAGGCCATGTGAGGACTTGAGAAAGCAACTTTCTACAAACCAGGAAGTCTCACCAGAAACTGAATCCTGCCAGACCTTGATCTTGAACTTCCAGAGAAAATAAGTTTCTGTTGTTTAAGCCACCCAGTCTATGGTATTTTGTTATGGCAGCCCCAGCAGATTAACACACATACTTTTAGGCACAAATACTAGGGCAATACTGCCTAGTACCCTCTCCTTCATAGAAAGGGGCAAGGCCCAATTCTGATCTGGCCTTATGGTATAATAGTCTAGAATACAGTAGTCTCAGCAACTAATTTATCTTTACTGCAGATAATTTCCAAAGACCTATCCCATAGGCACACTCTCCTTGGTTGAGATTGACATTAACCTATGAGCTATCCTCAGAATTAACAGTTTTCAGAGAGTTAAGGAGAAGCAAGGATGACCCGGGCTCACAACTGATCTAAATTCATTATAGAATAAAATCCTCAAACACTGTTAAAACTAGGCCAGACTACTAAAATAAAAGAGGCAATCTAATCAGTGAGATCATGCCTAGTAAGAATACCAAGTCATCCACTAGCTGAGCAGTAAAAGCAGAGAAGGTCTAGAAGAAACAAACAGCATCTCTGGAAAGGAGGAACTGGTCTCCGTAGGCAATTACAGTGTTGAGGGACATGAGTAAGAACGGACTGTATTAAAGAGAGGTAGGTTTAGTGATCACATACAGTAAAAGGACATGGCTCTCTTCTGTTTCAACAAAAAAAGAGTAGACAATTTAACAGTATACACTATAGCTAGTTTAACAGGATTTTATAATAAGCTCTAATATTCTAAATTATATTTTAAAAACCAAGTCATACAAGCTTACAACAGATCTCGATATTGCCTCATTGTTTGAGTAGCCTGCAAAACATACCACTTTCCAAAATTTTTAACTTGAACATTTATATGGAAGGTAAATTTTACAGCAACTTAAACTAGAAAGGCTTGTCCTTCGCCAGATGTTTAGCATAGGAATGCTTTCTATTTATAATCAGAGTCTCTTCTGGCAACTTAATATCCCCTTAGCTCACATTTTAAGTCAAAAATAAATTACAGCCATGCAGAATTAGTTGTAAATACCAGGTTAAAACTGCTAGATGGAATTGGGGTATTTTTGAGCATTTCCCTAATGGCAATTTTTCAAAGAAAGGTGGGGTATATAGACATTAAGCTATAAATGCTTGAAGAGTTATAAAATGCATTTTCACATGTCAAACTGAAAAAATTGAATGCACTAGTTTCAACTTCTTTAGGAAATCTTGACTATATATTCCATGTCATTCCCCTCGCCCCCAAACAAAATACAAAACTCAATTTGAAAGAGCTGCCTTTCTCTAAAGCCAAGATAAGATGGGAAGTTGTTTTGTTGTAATGTTCTCAGCTTGTCTATAATCAATGAGTGTGGCTAAAACAAATTATGTGTGGTATATTACGAAAATGGTGGAAGCAAAGAAATGCATATCACTTCGAATAGTCTATTCAACATTATTTGGTCTAGGAAAACTAGTTCAGAATGAGGTTTCAAAAGTTTAACACCCAAATCATTTAGTAATGGACACTAGTAATCCCTCAAAAGTTAGCATCTCTAGGTCTTCAAATTAAGTTTCATTATATAACCTACTTATGTCATTCTAAAAGTTTTATCACCAGGAAAGTGAAAGGTAAAATTAACAAAAGGCACTACTTAAAAGCTAATGCAAGTGGCTGTGCAGAAAAGAATTAAGGACCATCTAGACAGCAGGTTTAAATTTGTAGAAATCATATTTGAAACTACTTGCCCGTAGTCCTATTTCTGTTGAGTATGATTGTGTAGACTGAGGAGAAGGGACAAAATTATGAAATCCTTGGGGCAGCGGGGGTCTTTCCTAAGTATAAAAATGTTCCCTCCACTCCCATCCCTAACTG